GATTCCCATTCTTCTCAGAGTCAGCCATAGTTTGTTGTGATCCACACAGTCAAAAACCTTTGCATAGTCAATGAAGCACAGATAGACATTCTTCTGGTATTCTTTGCTTTCTGCCAAGATCCATCTTACATTAGCTATAATATCCTTAGTACCACGACCTCTTTGAAATCCAGCCTGCACATCTGGCAGTTCTCTGTTGACATATTGTTGCAAACGTTTAAAAATTATTTTTTTTAATTGTGAAACGGAGGAAAAAAAGAAAGCCCATCAATATGTTGTCTATAAGAAACATATCTAATAAACGAAGAGAAACACAAAATCAAGAGCTGGAAGATAGTATACCAAGCAAATGGCATCCACAAAAAAGCAGAAGTGACAATACTAATTGCTGATAATATAGACTTCAGAATGAAAATCATCACAAAGGATAAAGAAGGGCACTATATAATGATTAAAGGTATAGTAGATCAAAAGGCCATAACACTGGTCAACATCTATGCACCAAATTATAGACCTGTTACATATATAAAACAACTGTTAACAGAACTGAAGAAAGAAGTAGATAGAACCGCCATGGTGGTTAACACACCACTCTCTCTAAAGGACAAGTCAACTTAAAAGAAACTTAACAGAGTAGTGGAAGACTTAAACTACACATTAAGTCAGCTTGACCTTGTGGATGTATTCTGAGCACTGCACCCAAATAAAACTCAGTTCACTTTCTTTTCAAGTGCACATGGCACACAAACCATAACTGATCACAAATTAGGACAAAAAGTAAGCCTCAACAAATTTAGAAAATAAATTGAAATAATACAAAGTATATCCTCAGACCACAATACCATAAATCTAAAATTAACCACAAGAGGATAAAGCTAATAAAGTCATAATTGTGGAAGCTAAATAACACCTTGCTATGACATGATTGAGTTGTTGTTGTTGTTGTTGTCATGTGCTATCGAGTCACTTGCCACTCATAGCAACCTATACACAAGAGCCCTAAACGCCATTCTATCCTGTGCCAACTTTGCTGTAAAACACATCTATTCCCACCACTCCACTACAGAATCGA